AACCTCAGAGCCCAGGACTTGCCGATCAGAAGGTCGGCGGTTTGAATCCCCGTGACGGTGTGAGCTCCCGTTGTTCGGTCCCTGCTCCTGCCAACCTAGCAGTTTGAAAGCACATCAAAGTGCAAGTAGATAAATAGGTACCACTCCAGCGGGAAGGTAAACGGCGTTTCCGTGTGCTGCTCTGGTTTGCCAGAAGTGGCTTAGTCATGCTGGCCACATGACCTGGAAGCTGTACGCCGGTTCCCTTGGCCTATAGAGTGAGATGAGTGCCGCAACCCCAGAGTCGGCCACAACTGGACCTAATGGTCAGGGGTACCTTTACCTTTACTATGATAATGGAAGCAGGTAAGGAATCTTAAGAATGGGAGGATGGATGAACAGAAAACTCTGATTTGTGTGGAATGTAGTCTACTGTGCAGAGGAAACAGTCCCCATCCACTTCTGCCTCTGACCCAACCCACCACTGGCATCTTGCCCTTGATATCTCTTTTAGAAATCCTTGTACAGGTTCACCTATACAGGCTCACCTGAGGCAGGTGGTTACCAGGGAGAGGGTCCCACTTAGGAATGCTTTCCCCAAATAGGCTTGCCTGGCACCCACACTATCCTATTTTAGGCAACAGGTGAAGACCACCTCATTCTTCCACGCCTTTCTGTTGTAGCCCACCAGGTGCTTTAGTCTTTGCACCAAATTCTCCCTAGCATGATTTTATGCTGGTCTGAACTTGTTTAAATTGTTGTAGCTGCTTTGTTTTATGCTGATCACCTTGAACTGTGCACAGTGCTGATCCCATATGCACAACAGACCAGAGTTGGTTTGGGGCCATAAGGCCTTATATGTTGGATGCAGATTCGAAGTCTGTTCAGAGTAGCTCCACTGAAAGCAATGCGATGGATGAGATGCCCTTAGTGAGGTTTCATTCAATAGTTTTCACTAGTAGCACTGCTTCCCATTGTCCTGACCTGGTCTAGCAGAGGAGACCATATCGCCCTCATTGCTTGTAAGTGCAAGAAGGGGCCCGGGGGCAAACTCATGAGATCAGTGGTGGGTCTGATGCTGACCCTGACCATGTGTGTGCCATGGTGAGATGGGAGCAGAAGCCTCTGAGGAGTGTAGAGCACTGATGATGGGGACTCCTAGTTTCTTATTGGAATATTATCCTAACTAGGACTGCACTCTCTGTTTCAGAGCAACATGCCTATAAACACCATGGAAGAAGACAGCCTGGGTTCAGAGCCAAGAAGCCCAACAATGCCTTAGCTGGGAATATGCCATCCTCTCAGCTGGAGTTGCCCTCTCCGTGGCCGAGAAACCCAAAGCCAAGCCCAGCAGGGACAAGGACCACATTTTCAAATAGACAGTTTCGTGGCAGGCAAGTCCTCAGCTTGGAAAAGAATCTTCCAGTGTCACAATCAACAGTTGTCCCCTTGTCTGAAATGGCAAGATGTATCCACACTGACCAAAAAGCATTTCCTTTCTAACGTGTTATTTTTTCAGCCAAAGCTTGCTCTGCCAGACCCATCCCTTTCCAAGAACTCACAGATACCACCAACATACATTGGCAGGTGTGCCAGGGGCTAAAATACAAAATCAATTAATATCTCTAGCCACAGTCAGATGCTGGTAGCTGTAGATAGTTCATATGGTCCTTCAGATGAAAGCTGAATTTCTTAATAAACTTTGGGATGGGATCCAAAGGTTATAAGATCTCTTGGAGCCAGGGTGATCTGATTTGCTAGGAACCACAAAACCCTTTCTCTGGTCAGAAGGTACTAGAAGTAGGGATCTCTGAAACTGTACCTTGGACAAAGCTTGGTAAGCAGCCTAGGATCTTATAGATCCTAAGAACATTCATCAGGAAGTATATTGGATTTATTTAAAATCTCTAAAACCACCCTTCATTCACCTGTGGACGGAGGGAGTTGGTTGTTCTTCATTTGCCCCAGATCTGTGCATGAAATTCACTCTCATCTTGTTTCACAGTATGCAAGCCGAACACCTCCCCAATAAATGTTGAATCCCACCCATAGCATAGCTGTTTCTGTCTCTGCTTTCAAATCCAATCTCCCTTCTGCCTATCTCAAATACTTAAACTGTTATGGCAATAATGTTTTTTCTTTGTCATAGGTAGCAGCTCAGAAAGCTCACTGTGCTCTCTTGCCAGAAAGGTAATGGCGTTTCCTTCAGCAGCATCTCACCTGAATTGCAACGATTGCTATACTAATGCTAATCTTACGTTGGTATACCAGGACTTAGAGGCTTTTGGGGCAAATTTCAAGGATATTTCGCAATGAATCATTCCTTTATTCTTAAAAATAATGGTTAAGATGTTATTTATCTTTCAGAGATGTAGTAAAATGAAACAATATACAGTATTAGAGGGCATCCCAAAATATTCATATAAACAAGACTATTGATTACATCAGATGGTACAGGCTCTGATGTATACTGTGAATATACAATCAGGAGATCAAGGTAGTCAAAGTGGAGATAATCAAAATGTTATTGTGTACCTCAATGGGAGTCACTTCACTAGCTGGCGGAATAAATAACAAAGTCGTCTGAAAAGATCGAAAGAGAGAGTCATTGTGGGCCTGTGTCTCTCTCAGTCCTAGAAGCTAGATTCATCCAAGGAAGCTAGATGATTCAGAAGAGACAAAAGACAGTACTTCTTTGCTATGATGGCTTGTGCTACTAACATCTTACATTCTTAATCCTTACAGTTCTCTAATGGTCTAGTCATCACTATGCTATACCAGCTCTTGCATAACACAGGGGATTGGCGTAATCACACAGTGGTACAGAGTGACTATATGTTGGTATTCTTGAACCACAATTGACTATTACCCTGTATGTTTGAATTTCAGCATGCTTTACCTGTACTTCAGCATTCCGGGTCAGATGAAATCAATTATACAACCATTGTGTTCCAAGATCCCATGAATGGCACCAGCTCGGGAAGAAGCAATGAAGATCTAAGCGATCACAGACACTATGAGAATGTGTCTCCCTAGGAAAGAAAAGCTGGTTTCTGATCACGCTCTTGCCCCCTTGCTTCTCGTTCGGACCTAAGTAGGACCAGCTGTTCATGCATTGCCTTCTTCAGTACAGATGAAGGCATAAGCTTTTGTGAACTTGAGCCCATTTCATCAGATGCACAAAGTGAAATCTTTTCTGGCAGATATATAAAAGAGAAAATTGTAAAGTAGACGTCAAATAAAAAGTGACATTTTTATTTATTTAAAATGAGTAAAAATAATGACCAAAACTCCCTATTTTTATATCTTTAATTCTGTCTGTAAACAACACAGAGGATCTGTGTGTATTGTAGTATTGTAGTTTCATATTTTAGTTTAGGAAATCGAAAGCTTGACCCTTTGCTATTTGTGTTGTATTCCTATGGGGAGCCTTGCTCTCTGCAGAAATGAAATTCCACCTTCATTTTCTTTGGTGCTTAAGCTGTTCCCCAAATAATTTTGGCTATGTACACACCACACATTTGAAGCATACAACTTCCCCAAAGAATCTCGGTAACTGTAATTTTCCCTTCACAGGGTTATGATTTTGAGGGAAGTCATGTGCTTGAAATGTATGTTGTTCATGCTTTTTGCAATGTCAATGGGGAAGTCAACTCCAAAATACAATATTTTGTTTGAAACCGAATGGGTCAGCACTATCCTTCAGACCTCTTGCATCTCAGCCTTTTACTTTGGGAGTGATACCCATGCCAGGGCAAAGGAATTGTCGGTGATGGCTAGCCTAAAAATAATGCTAAAAAATCTCATTCCAGCCTGCTGAAGCTGGCTTCAGAGTCAGAAACCTTAGCCTTCATTTAAACATGTCATGTATGTTATTTGGCAAAAAGGATACCATTAAGTTTCTTGCTTTGAGAGGCACAGTATAAATGACTATTTAGATGGCATCTGCCACCCACAAAGCTTAGTGAGATATTTTCAGAAACATATTGCAAATATTGGAAGTGCGATATCCTTTTGCGGATCTGATCCATATGCTTCATGGCGGGGCTGATGGATAGCTTATACTTATTGGATGCTACATTGTTATAACTGTGTTAGGAATAGTGAAACTTGAATTGGATTTAAATCCACGATTAATTTTATTTAATCTTTTTAATCTGATTTAATTGAATAGATTCCAAACAGCTGCAATTTATTAATAATGAATTTAATAATCTCTGAAAAGACAGTCCAGGGCAGATATTGTAAAAACCTGCAGCTTATATTCATTTCCTCAATCCTAAAATGTAGCCAAGATTGAAAAACTAGTCAATGCAATGTACAGAAGGAGTAACACCTCTGCAATTGCCCCCCCCCAATAAAAATGCATTGCCAAAAAATGGCCTTTCTTCATAAACTATTAAAACATGACATATAAAGCTTGATAGAAATATATTGTCATAAAGTAAAAAGCTTTGGTCTCTCTTGCATTGTGTCCTCCTCCCCTTTTTCTGAATAAAATAAAATAAACCATGTATTCTAGGGTAAAGTATTATTTCATTACACGTGGGCACAGCAAAGGCTGGGGAAGGGGTATGGACTTACCAGTAGGTGTTTTGTATAGTATTTAAAGTCAATCCTTATAGTATTGCTTTGTGCTTGAGGCAGTGAAGCCATTGACACAAATTGACTGAGAAGCTGTAATAGCTGGAAAGTCCATAGACACTTCTAATTGTTCTGTGAGAAAATACTGTTAGAATGTGTTAAGTTCTTATTTATTTAATATAAGTCAAGTTTACTCACTTTGTAAGCCCAGAACAAGAGGTTGTTTATTGATGAACAGGTCAACACAACAACAACAACAACAACATAGGAAAATAAAAGTAACCACAATAGCAAGCTACAGGATGGAGTCTTAGCTCCAACCCAAAATAACTGGATGCAATATTTAACTCCATAATTATGAATTAAGGCTTAGTTTGAATTCTTCTAGGGGAGCTCAAAACCTTGGTTTGTCCCCGCTTAGAAAGAACATGAATTTTTATACCACATGATTCTGACTGATGGTGAGGCTGATGTGGCGTTCAAAGTATGGCTGTCACTTTCACCTCACTTTTCCGTCTTCCAATTATATAGGGGTGGTGGAAGAAAGGGAGAGCAGAGAAGGGAACTAGTGCATAAGCAAACCCTCCTGCACTTGGTAATAACTTGGCTCCCGCTATCATGGTGGAGCATGAAGTCAGGGGTAAGGAATCTTCTTCAGTGTGAAGGTTGCATTCTCTCCTAGGCATCCTTCTGCCAATGGTGGCTGGGGCCAGAGGCAAAAGTGGGCAAGACAAGATGACAGGCGTGGGTGTGGCCAGAGGGGAATGTGGGCGGAGCAGCCGTTCAAGAGCAATGCCACCTCTCTAGTGGTCAAGCATTTTTATTTTTATTTCTGCCTACTCTTTTCTCCTGCTGTTGTGGAGTGCAATAAGAGTCATGCCTGCTGTTACTAGGGAGGTGAGGGAGAAAGCAGCAGTGGAGGGAGGGACTGGGAGTGGCACTGGGAGGTGTTACAACTGGATTTGTGTCCTGTACAAAACCATTTGTTATGCCGGTGGGTACTTTGCACACATCTATTTGTTTTTTCCCCCCAAATAATATTTATTATTTTCAGTAAATAAGCATAATACAAAAGAATTAACAGTAACAAAAACAAAAGATAAAACAAAAAAAGACAGAAGAAAGGAAAAAAATAAGAACATACAGTACAACATAATGCCAATTAATTACAATTAAGTACCATCCATCTTCATAAACATAGTATTTGACTTCCTCGAGTCTCTTCCATCTGAATTTCTTAGTAATTATCTGTAGTAGTTTCCAATATCAATATGTCAAAAAACCAAATCACAGTCATAATCATATTACATCACTTTCCTTATTGTGCATTTTCTTATTTATAAATTTAATCCCAATTTAATCCTAGGTCTAATTGATTCTTTCAAGTGATTATATATCTTTAATATTACAATATTTATTCAAATAAATATTCCAGCTTTGCACACATCTAGGCTGAGCACCTTTAGCCTAAAGCACATTTGAAACATATTTCCTTCCTCACAGAATTCTGGCCACTGTAGGATTGCTTGGGATTGTAACTTTGTGAGGGGTAAACTACAGTGCCCAGAATTCTTTAAGGGGAAAAAATGTGTTTCAAATGTGCTATACTGTGCATGCAGCCAAAGCCGGAGCACAGAAAGGTATCAGCTTACCACTGAGCAGCTTGTTTGCAACCAGCATTCTTGAGAAAGAAGTGGCTCAGGTCTGATAGAAAAGCCATAGTGACAGGTAAGAACATAAGGAGATCCTTGCTGGATCTGACCAGAGATCTACCTGGCTCAGAACTGTGTTCTGACAGGGACTACCTAGAAGTCCACAATATATTACACATAAGTATAAATGGGATGCAGGTATTCTTTGCCAACTCTCAAGTTTCTGCAGAACAAAGCTCTTGCGGAAAGATAGACTTAAATCCCATACATGATAAGACCATCAGGTTCCCCTGCTCTCCATTACCATTCAGAGCTCCTGGCACAGAGTAAGTACCAAACAGTGGCCCAAGCTTATACTCTAGAGCTCCCTTGATTCAGTCACTGTGTCCTCCTCATAGGGCTGGTAGAAATCTTTTAAGCTCTCCAGTTGCATTTGAACATCAGCACCAGCCGCAATCAAGGTGCTCTGTGGGCTGTGAGTCAAGATAGTGGTTTTCCGGCTGCAGAGGCTGCCATTGGAGAATTGCCTCTTGAGGTTGGAGTGAAGGTTCCCACAGCAGGAGAAAAAGTGCATGAGATCATGAACAAGATGTCCGCTAAAGAACATGTAAATCCAGGGGTTGCAGCAGCTGCTGAGGCTGGCGAGTAACATGGTGATGGTGTAAGTTGCATTGCTGGACTCTGAAATGGAAACAATGGCAGTTAATTTACTCCCTACCAACTCCATGCAAATAAAAAATGTGTGGTATGTCTCTGGCAGATGTAGACATGTAAAATACAATTGCGTGTAATAACGATGTCCTTAAATGTGAAAGATGCCTCTTACTTGTCTGCGTAGAGGATAGAGAGGGGTGTGCGAGTGTGGCTTGAAACTGAGTAAGATACAGGGCTCTGTTAAGTCCTATTCAGAAATCACTGTGCCTGCATAGGGAAGGATTATACTGAAGGCGTGGATGTGACATTTGTCACACTGCTAGTATTCTACAGGTACATACGGCAGGTAATTGGAACTGGTTTTGATTCTCAACACAGTTATACATAGGAGCCAACATGCAATGTGTAAAATAGGATAGTCTGTGCCTGAAGGAGGATTAGAACTCAGGTCTTTGAGAGTCTAAACCCGGCACTCTAATGACTCGACTAGCTACCAACCCTCAGCTATTCGTTAGTTGACCACACTGTTTGGGTTTCATTTTAAATCCTCCAGGCAAGGGATGATGCTCTCATGCTCGGTTCTTTTAATGATTCTCTCTCTTGCTTGCTTTTTAAAAAAATTATTATTTGAACATCTATATAATCTTTCTCTAGGTAACAACAAATCCAAGCATAATCTGATTCTATGTTCTGTAAAGAACTCAAAATAGGCAAATTATACACCATGAGGGTATATCCTACAATCATGATGGCTTATTAGTTCACACATCTGCATTTCTGTTTTAGCAACCGATTTTTCAACAGCATGTGATGTTATTATTTTACTTCAAAACCATAATTGTAGGCGTATCTTGTAACCATAGTGAAAATAATAATGTACAGGCAAAACCAACCCCTCTCCCCCACCACACACAAATCTTTTAGAAAACAGTTGTTTCAGTGTTGCTTTGATGAAAGCTAGATGGAGATGCAGAGCAATGCAGTTGCTACTAGAATACGGTACAAGTTGTAAATGTGTGTTTGTGACAGAGATCAGCCTAGACATTGCATCTTACTATGCTGGTGGGTGAGATGTAAGTAGGTGTGTGTCGGGGAAAACATTTCTTGCCTGATGTGAGTGAGTGAGTGAGTGAGTGAGTGAGTGAATGAATGAATGAATGATAGATTTCCTTCTCCCAGGTTGCATGTGCAAATCAGGAGCTGGTGTGCATTTGCTGCGAGAGACAGGGAGTCACTGAAGTGTGTGCGTACTGTATACCTATTTCTGAGTGTTGCATTAAATCTGTTTTCTTCTGGGTGGTTTTACTCATCTAATCAGAAGGGCACTTCCCCACCCTCCGTGGGATGGATATGAAAGAAAAAGCTATACTTGATCACCACATGGAGGCCTGACTAAGGTCTAGAGCTTGCTCTGACCGTGATGTAGGAAGCAGGGTGAGTCTTTGAATCCTGACCTCCTCAAAGACACTCACCGTCATTCGGGGCATTCCTGTCCCACACCGACCACATCTGCATGCTGAAGAAGGGAGCCCAGCAAGCGACGTAGGCCAGCACTATGACAAAGGTCATCTTCACAGTGCGGATCTTTGCCCTCGAGATGGTGCGCACGCTGCTGACCCGGGAGCCAGACTGGCACTCTGCTCCCTTCGGAACTGTGGCTGTATAAGAAATAGCAGCAGCAGTTGTAGGGGCAGGACAGGGACCGCAGCTCTGCGTCTTCCCTCGAAGGTTCTTGCAGATCTTGTGGCAAATGAGGCTGTAACAGACGGTGAGGATGGCCACGGGCAGCACGAAGACGCACAAGGTCATCCATGTAATGTAGGCTTTAGCCCCCCAGGGATACTTGAATTCCGCCCAGCAGTCCAGCACGCCAGAGCCTTGCTGCACCTCTCTGAGAGAGAAGATGAAGATCTGAGGCAAGCTGAGCAGGCAGCTGAGCAGCCAAGTGACCCCGATCATCTGGTAAGCCTGGCAGCTGGGCTGCTGCAGGGTGCGCAGCGGGTGGCACACCGCCATATAGCGGTCCAGCGTCATAGCAATGAGCATGTAGGTGGAGGCAAACATGCTGAGCACCTGCAGGTACTTGACAGCCTTGCAAAGAGGATCCGGCCCCTGGAAGCGATAGGTCACTTCCCAGATCATTTGCGGAAGGACCTGGAAGAGCGCCACCCCGAGGTCGGTCAGGCCCAGGTGCAGGATGAAAAGGTGCATGCGGCTCATCTTCTTCCTTAGCCGGTACATGGCCAGAAGGACGCCCAGGTTCCCCACCAGGGTCACCACCAGGATGGCTGCCAGGACCCCAATCTCAGCCTTGGCGAGTTCTTCGTCTCGGGTGTGGAGGATAGTCTGGTTGCCGTCTCCATCCTTTGGCTCAAAGAGTCTGGTGCTGTCCAGAAAAGATCTGTTCACAAAGCTGCTACGGTCAGTGCTATTCTTCCCCATTGACTAGGATTCAAAGAAGTGCGGTGATTTCCCAAAAGTAAGTTCTGCAATATGAGACTCTCTGAGAGATCAGGAAGTTAGATTAATAGCACCCTCCTCATGACTGTAGATCTGTAGAAGCCAGATTAATTTTCCATCTTTCTTTTAACTGTTCCCTCTCTCCTTAATATTTGGCCCTGCTATTTAACATCACGAGGTGAGTCAGATTCAGCTAACAATATAATTTGTCTTAAATCCCCTTTTCTAATTTGCCTGGAAAGCTGCAAATCTTTTTTATTAATATGAATTGTTTACAATATATCTTGTTCAGTTTTCATTTCCCTCTTCTGCGCCCATCAACACTCCTGCTTTGCTTTGGGATCCGATAGCTCATTGAATTTTATGGTCTCTCTTCTCCCACTCCCCTCACTTCTTTCCTAATTCCTTAACCTCTCGGGATCCATTAGATCTTTCCTCTCTGCACTGACCAGCTCAGACAGCACTACTATTAATTTTCAGAGTCTTTTATAGAAGTCTCAGGAAAAAACAACAACAATTAAAATAACTAAAACCCCACCATCAGGCACAGCCTTTTTGCCTATGAAGTAAATTGAATGAAGATAAGCATTTGCAAATCAATCAAAATGCCGAGCTCCTGGATCTCTTTTCGAGTGCCGGTGGTAGATGCTAAATCTGAACGCAGCTGATTCCCCAGGCTGTGTGAACTGCCTGCTGCTTCGATCTGGGTTTTATAGACAGGGAGCTGCCCTCTCTGGTTGGTCCTTGCCATCTGGCTCTATTGTCTCCTCTGTTGCTGAGCTAGAATCTGAAGAGAGTCTCCTGCTTAATACAACATGCATACAAACACACAAACACACATACACAGAGGTGAGTGTCTTTTCTTTCTTGAGTGAAGAAATAGATCAAATATTTCTTTTTTAAAAAAAAACAACCACCATTTTGCTTCTGTAGCTCCCAAGTGAAGATCTTTTGGGCGTCCAGATGGTACGGGGTGTTTTTTGGGGGGAAACTTCATTAGTTTCACCGCGAGTGCTAATATATTCTGAAGAAGTGTGCCAATTTGCAATATTCCTCCCTTTCTTCCTATCCGTTAATGACTCCATATCCAGAAAAGTCTCTCCCTCAGAATTCTCTCTTTATTCACAAGGTGGTCAAAGTTTGTGATTATAATTGAACAGTATAGAATGGAAAGTCAATGAAAATATGTGTTGTTTATGATCTACCTTTTTTGCTTCAGTGAATCCTATCATCAGCTGTTTTTTCTTCACATTCCCCAGAGGCTGGCTAGCAAATATCCACAGGATTGCAATCATGGACAATTTTGGAATCCTTAGGAACAGAATCAAATTTGGCATTAGAGGTTGTGATAAACTGTTTCTGTGGTTATTCTGAAAGAGTTTCTTATGGATTTTTTTTATTATTATTTTTGTAGTTCAGTGCTCTTTTTAAGTAATGCTGTTAAACACAAATTTAGCAAAATTGTTACTTTCCAGAGACTTCAGAAACATTTGAGAATTGTTGATAGAAGTGTCTATGTGAAATCATGAACAAAACTATATTACAGAGAGTTTCATCTTTGAATAATACAGAAAAAATCTGCTATTTGTTGATGGTTCAGGAGAAAAACACTACATGTATTTATGTTTGCCTTAGCTGCTCAAAGGATCAAGGATCCAACAGAATTTTATTATAAGCTTGGGGTCCCATGTGCTGGAGAAGTATATGTACTTCTATACTGTTTGTATTTTGTGATGGCCCAAGGTTTCTAACAAATAAATTTGACTGGCTGGCCCACTGGCTACAGCCAAACCTGATGAAAGCAGAAGCTGTGAATAATTTTCAGTGATCCTAAGCACTTCCTAAGAACACAGTGGTATAGAATACACCATTACAGCAATGCGTTGCCCCAATAGAATATCTTTATTGCAGGTGTATTTTGTCTATGGAGTTTGTAATAGCAAAGTGTCCTTTGTTTCCAAGGAGTGATCATTTTGGATTTTTAAACATTAACATCACGTATTGCCATCAAAAGGTAACTTGGCTGCTACTCCTTGGAGAAAAACGAAAAGCAGCTTCCCAAATATTATGGGTTTTCTTTCAACAGGATTCGTTTTCTTCAGATGGCAAACTGCTACAGCCTGGGGTATTTGCAGTGTCTGAGCTGTGTGTGTTTGCTTTTCTTCTCTTAGTAGGGACTGACAGTCAATTCGCCATGCAAACCACATGAAAAAGATTGTATAGGTCAACCAGAAATTAGCACAAATGATCTTGTGAATATATGGCTGCACCATCCTGTAGAAATGACTGAAGTCATCATGGACTTGTTGTGGGGAAAGAGAAGCATTGCACGGAATAATATTCTTCTTTACCACAGTCAGACTGTCTGATTTCCTGGCAGTTTACTAAAATGTGAAATAAAATTAAAAGCAGAAATGAAACCCAATTGAATGCAGAAGTGGAATGGAAATCAGATTCCTGGTAGTACATCTTTCTGGGCAGGTAGATTATACATTATTTTGATATAATAGCAATATCCTATACTCTGTAAAAAGATTCTGATAAGGAAGGGAGATTGAAAGGGTTTCTTCCAGTAGCAGGCTATCGCCATGGATTCAGCAGTTGATGCAAAAACTACCTATTTCATAACAGCCTATTCTGCAATAAAGTGCAGTTACTTTAATAAGACTGCTAAACCGTCCCCACTCCCCAAAGGAGGAAGAAGTATGGTAGGGTTTTCTTTGGATGAGACAGCAGCTAAGATTTAACTTTCAAAATAATTGCCTTATTTACAAATATAGGCAAACAGCAGACAATCCTAGCAGGCCACAGACCCACTATCCCATATTAGTAGTCCCTGCACCCTTCAGCCAACTTACCGTGCTTTTTCATTGTGGCCTGGGACTTACTACCAATCGGCTATTTCACAACTGCCCCCAAAACACCCTGTTCCATCTAGACGCCCAAAGATCTTCACTTTGGAGTCACAGAAGCAAATGGGTTTGAAAATAAATAAATAAATAAATAATAAATAAATAAATAATAAATAATATTTGATCTCTTTCTTCGGTCAAGAAAGAAAAGACACCCACCTGTGTGTGTGTTTGTTGTGCATGTTGTATTAAGCCAGAGACTCTCTTCAGATTCTAGCACAGCAACAGAGGAAACAATAGAGCCAGATGGCAAGAACCAATCAGAGAGGGCAGCTCCCTGGAGGATAAGGTTATCAATGACTTGATGCCGAGTGTTAAGTTGTGGGTGAACATATCAGACGACACAGCAATTCTCCAAACAGCTCTTGTTTATTCACAGGCCAGAACAGAACTGAACTGAAGGGTTCAGCCAGCCTGCTTATATAGAGCTCCACTACAACACAACCATAACAGCTTTCTGTAACTATTCAATCACTGAACGTCACTTTCGATCCCTTATGTGGACCTGAACTATCTACAGTATCCCCCTGCTGGCCCAGGGTGAGAACTTCAGTACATAACACCTATGTTCCGTCAGAGGCAGTATGCCTTGGAATGCCAGTGGCTGGGAATCACAAGTGGTTAGCTGCTGTGAGAACTGGATGCTGGGCTAAAAAGGCCAAGGGCCTTCTCAGATCTGGAGCTGCCCTTGTACAAGGGACACTACAATATCACAAGCTGCATCAAATTCCCACACCACTAAATTATGTGCTTGAAGCCGCTCCTTGCTCACACAATCATTATCAGCAGTATGACTAAGGATTTGTTCTCACTGGAGTAATAAATCTGTGTCAAGGCAGGATCACTTGAAGCTGTAGGTGGGCCAGCATCATTGCCTGATCTTCTATACAAAAAAATCCCCCATATAGAAAACTTGATGTCAAGGAGAAGAGTGGTCTACTATTGTTTTATAGAAGAGAAAGAAAAGCCCTTTCCTGCACTTTGTCTTATTAGAATCAACAGCAAAAATGACAACTGGTTATGCCTGGTGCACAATTATGCACCATTAAAGCCATGTCATTGCCTGTTCTTAGAGTTTGACTGCCATTATTTGTTTCTACACGCAATATTTTTTGCTCCATATGATGCACCTGACCATAAGACTCACCTAGTTTTTAAAGGAGAAAAACCAGAAAAAAAATATTCTGAAAGACCAGTGGATGTATGATTTTTGTGGTTCATACTGTGGCCACAGACATGGTATGTGATTTGACGGTGAGTTTGGGGTAGCCCAATGCAAAAATCCATGTGGATCCGTGCTTTGTAACCATGTTTTTGCGCCACTGTGGCCCCACGAAACAGTGGATACGTGTGCCTTTTAGTGCAGGCTGTAGCCATGGACATGCTATGTGATCTGATGGAGAATTTGGGTTGACCTAATGCAAAAATCCTGAGGATCCATGTGCTTTTACCTCCCCACTCCCAGGCAGCCTCCTTTGTCGCTAGAGTCCCTTATCTCCCCTCCTGATCGCTTGCTGATAAGCTGCTCAGCGGCTTTGTTTCAACACCCCCTTCCCTCTTTCAAAAAAAAAAAAAAAAGAGCACAATCTGCTTTTTGCCTATGGGCAATTCGACTCCAGGGACCACGCATTTCCTCCATAAGACGCAAAGACATTTTCCCTTACTTTTTAGGAGGAAAAGGGTGCGTCTTATGGAGCGAAAAATACGGTAATTAGAGCTCTCACATTATTGTTTTCCATTTAATTAAGCTATCAAATTATTGGGTGCTTTAAACCATGAGCCTGATTCTCGGATTCAAGCTGGCCAGCAATCAACCTTTACTGCTTTCTCTCTCTCAAGCCTACCCAGGTCTGGCACCTGGCCAGCAAGATACAATGGCAGGCTCCATTGGGAAGGATGTGCTAGTTTGGACCTAATGTCTGGGACTGTATGTGGAATATCCACTGTTTAGGGAGTTACCCTGAAAGGTAATGTCCTTGGAGCAGCTTTGACCAACCTGGTGCCCTCCACAAGTTTGAGACTATAACTCCCATCAACTCCAGTTAGCGCAACTGTGTTGCATGGGGCTGATGGGTGTTGTAGTCCAAAATAATGGAGGGCTGTCTTAGACCATGTCAGACCTTGTGGTGGTCTTTTGCAAACTAGGCCCCAGCCTAACAACTGGTCATGTACCCCCACCACCAACAGCATTTTGTTTTTTTGTTTTTTAAAGATTACAAAAAACATAAAAAGAACAATAAAAAATTAACAAACATACATTACAGTACATCTAAAATAAAGAAAAAACATAAACAACAAAACAGCAAAAAGAAAAAACACATTAAAACACATCCAATATTTCATAACTTTACCTTTCATTTACTTATTTCCTCGACCTCCTCACACCTCCCTTTTTGTATTCTAGTTCAATTTACTATTTCAGCAAATTCTTTCCATCTTTCTCAATTTTTGTTCTATAATTTACCTTAACCCAATCTGACTTTAAATTTTACACTTTGGCCCATTAACAAT